AAACATATTCCAAGTATTATACATAGCATACCCAAATAATACTAAATATTCACTCCCCGGTACAGTACAATGCAACCCAAAGCGACTTGGTACTCAAAATCCATCTTGCCCAAATCTAATCACACAGAAGGTGTCACCAGACCTAGGCAAATTTTATTTGAAATGAAAATAGAACTAATTATTTGAAATAATTTATTTCTGAACTTCCTGTTTCAATACTGTTATTTGAAAATAAAAATATTATCGATTCATTTGACATAATACCACTTTCAAATAACGAATTATTTTGTTATTCCCGTATTTCAAATTTTCCAAAAGAAATAACACTCAAAATAATATGAATCTTTACAGCACTCTGCTTTAACCAAAACCCGCTCTTGGAACAGCTCATCCGTGAGAGATTCCTGCTTGGGTCCATCTAATACTGTCGCGAAAGAAAATAATCGTTCCACGAGTGTGGAAGATGGAAGGGGGTATTACTTTTCAGAAAGATGTCAATAAATCAAACTCAGACCCAGTCACCTGATACAATTTCGAAGAGCAATTTCATAATTATTTCTACGAATAATTTCAAACGATTAGAAAATAAAATATCATTTGAGAAGTGCCTAAATCTAGCTGTCACCAACAGCACTGACATCGGTTCCCGTACAAAATTACAACACCCCGTCCCAGAATATCGGGCGTGTTCCCGCACAGCGTCACATTTGCCTCGAGTACTCGTGTGGCATTAGAATCGGCTCTCGATCCATTAAGGACACACGGGATCCATTAACCTGCAGCACCGTGTCAAGGACACGCGTTCGACCGCGGGATCATCGGCTGCGGATTCATCCAGGATCATGCTCTCGTGGCAAAACACGTACACGCGGTTTTGAATGAGTCTTTTTTTTTTTTTTGAGTGGATAAGATTGGTGGGGTTACGACGACGAGGAGGTCGATGGTGGCCGTAGGTGAAGAAGGGGGGAGCCGCGTGTCGATTGGGGGAAGGACGGTGGAGAACAGCGATATATGAAGGCGAAACTGCCGCTCCGCAGACTCAATAGCCCAGAAACTACACGTGCTGTGCCGTCGAACACCGTGAATTCGCGTGCGACAGAAACGATCGGTGCTCAGTTTTTTTTGTTTTTTTTTTTCGTGTGGCTCGTTTCTTCTGTCTCTTGTTCGTGATCGTTTCCGTTACATACACCAACGAACTCATCTTCGCGGTGACCGATTCGCGGCTCTTTATCTCTTTTTCTCTCACGCGCGGTGAAACGAATCGGTATATTCGGACCGGCGATCGAGGTGATAACCCAGCTGCCATTGTCCTCTGGTTGCGAAAGAGGGACACGGAGAGTTTCTTGTGACCGGTGATCGATGATCGACACCCGGCTGGAAATGGTAGGAACGTTTCAATGAAAGAATCGTCCGCTGGCGTCCAGCAGTTGTGAAAAACAGGAAGAGGGTGGCAGATCGAGGGAAGCGCTCGTACGCGGAGGAGCTTTGCGACTGTCGTCGGAACGATGGGCAAGGGTTGGAAAGGTACGTCGTTTATTTTCACGTTGGAGACAGTGTTGCGTTTAGAGAACAGGAGAGGAATTATGGTCGTTGCGGATAGATTCTGTGATAATTGAAAATGTTCCAGATAATGTTAAATAAAACTCTTGCTACCGATTGGTACGTATGTACAATGGTTTAATGATTTATTGTTGTTGGAAAGTGACCTTTAAAAAATTTAAAGTGGACGGTTTAGTATGAAGTGTCGGTTGTTTGTAATTCAGTTTTATTTCGATTATGGATGTCTATGCAAATTTTGATTTTCATAGACTATTTTATGGATATGAGGGACAAAGAACAATTTCTGTCTACCGTCATGTACAGTGGGTCAAACGAGTATTTGCAAGAATTTTTTTGAGATAACCTCATGTGAAGAACTAGCACGATTAATAGAATCTACACGTGTTAGTACTTCGTTGTACACAGAAACAGTATGTTCGTTTAGAAATGTTGATAATTTACAATTTCAAAATAATACAAAAGAAACGAAAATCGCGTGATCGAGTATTTGCATGCTAACGGTCTTTGTAGTAATTTTGTATTTCTTCACAGTTATAATTATAAAATATGTTTTCGTCCTTAATACAATTCATATTTCAAACTATAAATCCAATTTATAATTCGTTCTTATTATTTCGAATTCTACGTTTACATTTATTTTCAATTGAAGTTTTCAATGTTCCTCGATTTATCTGATAAGTAGACTGCGGAAGTTTATGCAAATGCATATTTTAAAGAAATGAATTTAAAATTATATTTTTGTATTTTTCATATTTCTTGCATATAGAGAATTTATTTATAAATTAGCTCGAGTATTTGTCAGTACTTGCTCAATCTCATCAATTTAAATTGCGGTAGTACATATGTGCAGTTAGGATATGCAATGAACATGCAATGGACATACAAGATGTACGCAAAGTATATGCGGGATTAATTCAGTAAATACTCACTTGCGTGAGGATTAGAAAAATCATGCAATTGTGTTTAAGCAATATATTTAGCATTATATAAGAAAAAATTAAATTATTAAACAATTATGTTGTACTTGTCATATTATTCCATTAAATTATTAAATTTGGTAATATACAAAACATAATGTAACATCAATATTAATACATAATATTAAATTTCTAACCATACAAAACACAATATATCATTTTCCGCCTTTAGACGTTTTTTTCGACAAACGGCATCAATTTTCAAATGACAATTTAGAAAAAATTGATGTTTATTACAACTTGAATTATGTGTAAAACCTGATATAAAATACAGTGTGTGCATATCTATATGCTTATAGTATAATAGTTTAATAGTAATCTAAAATAGTTTAATAGTTTAATCATTAAAATGTTTAATACAGTTTAATAGTATACTTCTGAATATGTTTAAAAGTGTAATAGTGATGTAACATTGTGTTTTGTGTGTTAAAAAATTTAATAATTTAATAGTATAATATGACAAGTATAACATAATTATTTTTACAAGTTGTGTAATACACATATAACGCCAAATACATTGATTAAACACAATTGTACGAATTTTCAAGTCCCAATTGTTTTTATCAAATTTATCCTGCATATATTTTGTATACAACTTGCATTACTAATAAGCGACGATAATTTTGTATTCTTTTTGAAACGGTAAATGAGAGTAAGATGTTAAAATCCGTAAATGTCATGAATGGAAAGAAGAATACTTTTTCTAAAAATTCCTTTGTACATTGAATTTGTCGAAACACGTGACCAAACATCGTGAAGTTTTCGTCTTTTGCCACGATAGAAATGTTCAACTATTTCAACAACGGGACACGCACGTCGGTGATGTCTCCGTTGCAGGCTGTTGGTTCGATAATAGATTACAGGGGGAAAATTTTTTTGTCGCTTCACGGTGTGCGATCCACCGGGAGCGAAGTGTACCAGTGAAATCATTTGTATGTACAAGTGGTATGGCAGACGACATATGTAAGACCTATTGCTCGACGAGTTTCGATTCCTTATCTCGATTACGTATTAACGGGCGCCTTGTTTTCTGGAGTATTTAGTTTGTGCTCGAAACCCATAACACTGATTATATCGAGATGAAAGAATGCCTAATACATGATAATATTAATTATGTGGATAGTTAATGATTCGACAAATAACACACGATACCTTATCAGTTTATGAAAAACAAACCACACTCCGTAACGATGACTTCAAATTCTAATGAAATTTCCACATGAGCGCTATTGACAGAAATTGTTGCATCACTTGTACACTAGTGATGATTTCTCAAACTTCAATGTTTCTCTGTTAATATTCATGACAATTTGTTTAAACGAGAAGCAAAGTAAAACTTGAACCTTCTACTTTTTTATCTTTTTGTTTGATTTTATGTAAGTCAGTTGCCAAGTTATAAAATCTTCCCCTATAGAAAGCATCGTATAGTTTTTAATGTTTATTTTATATAATCGTAATGGCACCGTTCAAATTCTTAGTATTTATTTAACAAGAATAAAAGTAAAATAATATTATAATGCCATAACAAAGAATAAAGGATAAATAAAAATAAACAATAAGTAATGGTATTAATATGTTTATACTTCGTATTTCCTCCGTGGGCTTCTATTACAGCTTTGCATCTTTTAAGCATAGAATTAATTCTTTATTCTTTATTATATAATTATTCTTTTCAACTAAATACCATACATGTTTCTATGTTATTGATTTACAATACAGAAAGTACGAAGTCCACCAAAAGTACACAAAAAGGTTAGCTTATGTAACTACAAAAAATACAGTTAAAATCATAATTTATATAGGTGGCTCTAATAATTTAATGATCCACTGTAGATAATTGAAAAATGAAAAATTTTAAAACATTCGAAAGACTCGGTTGGTACATTAGAAAAAGAAAAATCGTGGAGAACGTGAATATTAAAAAAGACAAGTGTATTAATTGAACTTTATCAAAAATTTTGCATCTTATACATTATTAATGCGTGGAGGGAAAGTCAGTATTTACCATCTACACATTCTTTAATATTTTCTATAACTCCTACCAGAAAAATATCAAGTAGTTATAAAAATATTAGGCGAACTAATTCTTGTAGCTAGTTCCGTATCAATCGTTCGACATTACTAAAAAGTTTCAACAGCGACCCTAGCACATCTCTTGCAAATACCTAATGTTACGATGAACGATGTAGCAACGACTAAATTTCATCGTCGATTGAACGTAAACGCAAGCCCAAAGCATTGTGAAAAGTGTCTTTGCGCATAAAAGAAAGAGGTCGGTTAATGTTCATCTTTTCGATGTGTTGTTCATCTTTTTGTGTCCTCGGTGAAGTGTCCTTCCAATATGGACGCTGAAAGACTGTCCTATTGCTTCTGACAACCGACAGCGACGAAATCATGCAACTTGTTAGACGATTACGTATTAGCCCGCGTTTCATTCCGTTTTTCTTTCTTTGGTCTATTCAGGGGCGAAAGACTTCGTCGGCCTCGAGGAGGTGACAAAGGTCGATTTTCTGGTGATGATGTTCGCCGAGGCGCTGGGAACGTTCCTCCTGGTGTTGATCGGCTGCGCCTCCTGCATTACTTGGACCGTCAGCAATCCACCCACAGTGGTGCACATCGCGTTCACCTTTGGCCTTGCTGTCGCGAGTCTTGCACAGGTAAGTCACCTGCCTTTTACGTAATTCGTTTCTTATTTCTCATTTTTTTGCCAGAACGTAGTTTCCGAGACTTTTCGAAATGACATTGTTACACGTTCGGTACCCAAAGATCACATACTTGGACGCTTGACGAGTATTTTGATAAGTCCACGTTACGGTGCGTGTCAAAGATAAGTTTGCAATGTATTTGGCATAAGCAAAAATGATGATCGTTCTGCCATTGAACATTTTTATCAATATTAAACAGCTGTCACTTTATCTGTTATATTTTAAATTATTCTCCTTTTCACGTGAATTTTTACTATTTATCTGGCAGGACTTGAATTCTTATTAACCTTTGCATAAATTTAATATGTTGATAAGGACACCGTAATTTCAATTCGTTCACAGTTGATGTATTTCGATTTGTCAGCCTGAACTGAATATTTATTGCACAATTGAATTTGCAAAATGAATTCGGAAAATTGTTTATTCAAATCATAGCAATCGTTGCTGCTTTGTGATATAGAAACATCGATGGTAAAATATTTGAATTTAAATATACTCCCCGAATAATAAGTGACATCAATGTTGTGAATTGGGATGCACTTAAACTTTCTAAATACGTGAATCTTGTGTTAAGTATAGTAATAAAAAGTGCATAACGTAGCCTCATAATAACTATCAAACCTACAGTTTGATGCACATATTATCATTACTCTGTTTTAGCCAATTAGCATAAATTTCAACATGTAGAAATCAACATCTACTTTCTATAGTTCTATGATTACTATTAACGAACTGTTTTACGATTAATTATTCAGTAAACTCAAATTCACTCTGATATGAAATATTTGGTTTTACGTAATTAAGCCTCAATTAAAACCTATAATTTCAAGGAAGACAATTTTTGTTGGGTGAAGTCCACCTTCCTTTATAAAGGTGAAACAATTAAAACTTTTTCAATATTTTGCAAAGCATTCGTGATTCGAACACTTTCTCTAATACATACTTTCACAGACATAATGGCAAGAAGAATTGCTCTATACTCAGAAGAACATGTGCTTCCGTATAAAAAATTGCCATTACCAGGATTGGCATTGTATTTTTGATATAACATGAGTACTAAAAGCAGAATTCTTGTCATACCTACTTTCCCATTGCCATGTTTTTCACTCATCAATGGCATGGAAAGTACAGCTTGCTCAAATTACCCAACGTATGTAGGTATTAAAAGTATTAAACACACAACAATTCCTACGATTCCATCGTTTTCCTCTGAACCGGTAATTAACGGTCAAAATCCAATGAATTTAAAGAATAGAGTGCAAGAGAAGAGAAAATCATACAATAAACGAAACAAAAGATATATATAGATACAAGCAGTTTTTAAAGAAATAACAGTTTGATTAATTAACTCAACATCTTACAAAACAATGATTCACTTCTGTGTAAACGTGCTTTTTTTCAATATGAACACTGGTTGGAAATATATACAGTGACTCGCGAAAAATCAGACGTATTAATTACATTTTGAATTAACATAAATCTTGATGGATATACTTTTTACGCGGATGCATTGATTTTAAAAATTATACGTAGTTTCTTTGAAGCAGTATTATAATCAACAGAAGTAGCAAAAGAACGCGTAAGAAAGTTTCCGCCTAAAGTCAATATTTATTTTATACATACTTATTTACAATAAATAATTCACTCGTTGTATAACCTCGCGATCATATTACAATACATTTTAATCCCATATGCGTAGGTTGAACTAGATTTTATATGTAATTCTGTACGCTTTTCTACTTCTAATCGAAATCATATTAATAATAACAAAAGAGCTATTTTTTGTCAAAACAGAAGTTTTTACAGACTCATACATAGGTTCATTTTTTAACTAGACATGTTTCACATATACTCAATTTGTTCAAATCAATTTGAACCTCCGTTTTTTGCAATTGCTGGAAGACCACAACAAACACATCAGACGACTATAGCGCTGTTATATGTATATATCTACATATATTACCAAAAAAAATTGTTTACAGTTTATAGTATTAATAAGCATTACCCAAAAGTACTAATCACAATTCCTATTCATTTCCTTGTACTTAATACCCCAAAAACAGTTACATTTTTAACAAATTTGACTGCCTAGTCTTCTTAAGAGAGAGTATGTAGGAATGTAGGAATGTAGGAATGTAGGAATGTAGGAATGTAGAAATATAGAAATATAGAAATATAGAAATATAGAAATGCAGAAATGCAGAAATGCAGAAATGCAGAAATGCAGAAATGTAGAAATATAGAAATGAAGAAATATTTCTTAGTTTATACGTGCCATCAATACATTCATATTTTCTTAATCCTGCATGTGTATCTAAACAATTTCAAATCACCCTAAATTCTACTAATTTTTCATTTTCATTATAACGTGATCGTACGTAACCCTCGTTCAACGGACGGGTGAAATGCCCATTGAATTTATCATTCCACGGAACGGTTCATAAACGATTAATTCATAAAGTATAATTCATCTCGATGACGTTACAATGCCAAATGAGTAACGCAGCGATTTGCCAAAATTTCGGCAATGTGATCTCACTCCCGTGTTTCAGGTGCGTGCCGCGCCTGTGATAAATTGTTTACCACCTCGCGTTTATCTGATTTCAGTCAATGGATAAAAGTAATCGTGTTCTCGACTCGTCCCATAAGAATCGTACTGCCACCAATACCCAGGTGGGTACGGGCCGCTCTGCGCGCAGGTGAGGCGAAGGGACGAGGGACGAGTTCCATTCACCTCGCTAAACTGCCGTGTCGCGGCGAAGTTTCGCGAGCTGAACTGTTTCCATTACTCTCGCTGTGTATCCTTCGTTCACTCGTCCGTGTGTGGCGTTTTGTTCACATCGATTAGCAAATTGGGAATTAATTTGTTGCGTCGATAAGCCGGCACGCGCAAATTATTCAACGTCCACGGTGAACGTGACCGAACACTGTAAAGCTTTTTAGCCGGATTTACTATCCCTTCCTCGCGTCGGGAACCATGTTTGCGGTAAAATCGGTCGTACTCTTCATACACTTCTTGAAATACTTAACTGTCCTTCGTCTGTACAACTGAGCCATCGATAAATGGTAATGATTCAAGGTTAACCCTTAACTGACAGACAGAATTAGGCAAATTGTAATCTAATTACAAAATGTAGATTCCAATTATAATGTAATTGCAATGTAATTGCGGGACAATTACAATTACAGTAATGTCTCGATGAATGCAACATACTCGGGTCCACTTCGGAGCATTTGTGGAAAGGGGAAAAGGTTTTCAGTCCCTCATAAATAGACTGCGAATTTTTATGCAAAATGAAATTTTTTTAAATAATTTCTAAAGACAGGAGCAAATGTCTCCTTTGCCTCATCTTGTGCCATCTACACAGGGTGTGACCTAAATAATGATAAAAACAGTAGCAAATGCAAACATTAATCCAAAGTGTAGAATAAAGTTTTTTGAAATCGATATTTTCAGCTTACGATAAGTAGAAACGGTAACTAGTGAACAGACACGTTGCCGAGGTCCTATTCAACTGCACACGTTCCAAGAGATAAATTGCTTCTACCAGGCTGTGAAGTTTTCAAAATGTATTAGGTGCATATGAAATAGCCTTTTCACAAATAAAACTTTACCAACACGTGATTTCCTCAGAGCTATTTAAACGCCTATTTCTATTGTTGTTGAAACATTATTTTACTCTTGAAACATTATTATCGATGGCATTTTCTGGCCTTCCTCTTGACTCATTATCCAATGAAAAATCGCCAGCCTTGAATTTCACGAACCACCATTGAACTGTTCTATTTACATAACCTTCTCCAAATGCTAAATTTATATTTTCAACAACTATTACGCCAATTGCCCCGACTTTAACCTCACAAAGATCACACGATTATTATAATTATTTATGACAGCTGATTAATCAAGTTGTAATAGTTCTGTTATACATCTTATTAGTATTCAAAACTCGTATATTACAATGTATTTTTTCTTCTTTGGTATAGTTTTAAACAAAATTTACTGGATGTTATTAGCCCGGTAAATTCGAATTCTGGAGAAACGACATTTCATATGCACTAACCTAATAGTAAAGAATTCTATTTTACCGAAACGTTAATATAAGCACCCTAATAATACAGTACAGTCAACAACTGATTCTCTCCCCACAACATCGTCTTGCACTTACTGCGTCCACGGTAACACCGAAATAAATCAAAACCTGTGAAACGCCGTGCAACAAGGTAGATGCATCGAGTGTTAATAACTCAACAAGCAGCATTTTATCGCAACCTGTGTACCATTAAACGAAGTAAATTTCATGAAATGTGACCTATTTTCTCTTTCGGAACATTATTTCCCCCTCCACCCAATGCCAAGTTTCGCAATTTGTCTGGGTGACCGGTGAAAACAATCCAACGATGGATTTCATACATCGGAGGACCCTGATCATAGATCATAGAAGATCAATCGTAGCCGATCGTTAAGTGTTTTTCGACGTCGCGACGAACAAGGAAAAATCGTTCCTTGCGACGTATGTTGGTCCATTCTATCAAATTGGTGCAAAAGGTTTGTCCTATTTTTCTAATACAGTCACAAATAAAGTCGTATAATTTCAAAGTAATTTCTTGATTTTCCATGCAATTCTATTCTCTTCAAGACACATTGAAATTCAAAAAAAAACTTGACATTCTCAGCGACCATGCATTTTTAGGCCACATTTGCGGTAGATACATATTCGATAAGAAATACCAAAACGGATATTTCGGAAATTCTAACACCGAATTCGATTAAATGAAACGCGAACTTTCATGATGCAGGAACCAATCAAGCAAAACCTTTAAGCCAAAATACGAAACATTAAGATAAGAATAATAACATTGTGTATTAGGAAATACGGCTTTTTAAAGAATCGCAGAGACAAACCATTTTGCTCAACCCTTTACATCCTGACGGTACTTTGTAGTAGGTA